AGCCCTCCGGGACAGGCACAAGAGCTTTCTTCTGCTGAGGAGGTGGTAGTGGCAGGGTTTCTCGGGTGCCTTTTCTACAGCCTGCCAATCCGTGTCTCAAGTCCCTGAGCTAAGGGAACACATTCTGCTACCCTCTGCCGCCCCGGCACCTAGAGCCTGCAGCAGGCCGCACCTAGCTGCGATCCCTCTCCGCGGGTGTACATAAGATGTAAATAACATGGCCACAGCCCCAGCGGCCATGCCCAGGCCAGCCCTTGCCTCCCCTCACTTATGTGGCAAAGCTGGCAGGGGCAGGAGGCCATGGGATTAATTCATACACTTTACACGGATCCCAAGAGTCCAAACTTTTCAACTGTAAATGTTATTTTTTAAGCAGAGAGAAATGCATATATTTTAAATGGAATTTATTCTATCTATTAACTGCCTGAGAGGACACAGAGCTGGAGGGACTCAGATGCAGCAGAAGCGCCCACTGCCCACCTGGGCTGGACGCCTGACCCCCTTGTCCCGGCCCGAGGCTCTGTAACCATTAACCTCTCCCCAACTAACATCAATGAAAGTGTCATTCCACATGACTGGGCTGTGTGTTCGCATCTGTGCCATGGGCGCCTGAGCCGGGGGTCTTGCTGAGCCGCACCTGCAGGTACCCACCAATGTGGAAGGAGGAAGGGCTGGGCCCTCCCGTCCTGGCCTGGGCTGCCTCACTGGCTACCACCTGGGATGGGCAGACCCCATGGTGGCTGCCTCATGGACTGCCCACAGGTTTTTCTAATGCAGTTTACAAGTTTTAATACAAACCAGTCTACATTCATTCCTAAAAGGCTCATTTTCAGTAAAAAATATACACCAGTAAAAACTTCTCCCAGGAGAATCAGGGCAGGGGGCCACAGGACGGACACCTTCCTCGGGGCCAGCTTAAACAGGCACAGGACGAGGCTCCGAGGCAGGCCAGGGACCTTCTCCATCTTTAGGTCCAAGTCAGTGCCTCTCGCCCAGAGGGAGGGAGGAGGGGAGGGACTGGGGCCACATGCAGGCCCCTGCCCCAAAAAGGCACTCTTCATGGCTGCCACCATCACCTTCCAAAAAAGGCTGAGGCCCTTGCCCCGCGCTTCCAGACTGCTGTAGACCCGGATCAGAGGCACTGGGCTATGGGGCCCCCGGGGGGGCAGCCCACGGCGGGGGCACCTGGCTCCTCCTTACGCGCCTGAGGTCATACATTCAAGAGTGCCCCTGGATAGGCCGGGGACAGCCAGGCTGTCTGGACAGACAGAACTGCCCACAGTTAGCCCTAGGCCAGGAAGACGGCGGAGCTGCCATCAAAGATGGCCTTTGATGCCATAGGGTGCAAGGGCAGACCCCGAACATTCAAAACGCCAACACCCCAGACTCAATGGCTCTGGCCTTAGCCCAGGGCAAACCAAGGCCAATCAATGGCTCAGAAGGGAGAGTTCATGCCCAGCTTGGTTTCAAATTGCAGCTTCTGTCGCTTCTGGTAGCGCACACGGACCCTGGAGGGGCAGGAGATTAGAGCACAGGTTGGCAAAGACCTTCAGACTGGGGAACAAACAAGACAGAGGATGGGGTTGGGACAGGCAGTGGGAAGGCAGGGGAAGGGAGGTGGGGGTGGCGGGTTTAGAGAGCAGCCCTGAGCCCACAGGGAGGAGCTTGCTGGCAGCTCACCGAATTTCGTGCAGCTTTACGATCTCGTTGGTGACCACCACGAGGACCAGGGACAGGCAGCCCAGGAGCCACGTCAGCAGGGGCACATCCTCCAGGCCAAAGTGGACACGGCTGGCCCTGTGCGTCCACAGCTGCAAGTCCACCACCGTCTGGACCACTTGGCCCAGCAGCCTACAGGAGGAGATGGCACACCCGGGTGAACCCAGAGGCGTCCTTCCTTCCCGGCTTCCCTCCACACTGCTCAAGGAGGGCACGGTTAAGCCTCTGGCCCCAATCCCACCCTCCAGTCCTAGCCCAGCAGAAGCCCCCGGTGCCAGCCGAGTGATACTCACACCACCGGCACCGTCACGGCCCACCAGAGGTTCGTCAAGGGGCTCTTTCTCCACAGGGGCTTGGTACGATGCACGTGCGTGATGGAAATGAAGACTGAAGAAAATGGGGTCAATGGGCGGTGGAAGACTTCTTGATGCAAGGCCTCTCCCTCCCCTGAACTGGGGCCACCCCCCAGCTGCCATCGGCCCTTCCAAGGGAGAAGCCTCACCTGTGTGCAGGACAATCAAGGCAGCGGTGAGCTTCTGAGCCGACAGCAGCCCGTTGGCAAAGTCCTCAAACCAGGCTGGAGCTCTGTCGTCATTGCTACCAAAGCAAGGTGTGGGCTCAGCCTCCACTGGGGCCACTGGGGAGTAGGCTGGGGGGCCAGGACGAGGTCCCCGAGGCGGGCGTTGGGCAGAGCCCTGGGGCGGGGCCCACCTGTGCAGCAGGATGGAGGAGCAGTTGGTGAGGTTGCCGTTCCGGGAGCTGTCGCAGAAGCTCTGCAGCGTGAAGCCGAAACAGATGAGGCAGGAGCTGATGGTGAGGCTGAACTTGAGCAAGAAGCAGAGCAGGAAGTAGTGCTGAGTCTGCGGGAGGAGGGAGACTGGTCACTCCCAGGAGCCCCCCCTACCGGCTGCATGGAAGGGCTGGCACGGCCCACTGCTGAGCGTATTCAACTGCTCTTAGAAATGCGGTGGTTGGGAGGACAGGGACAGGAGTAGGGTGGTGCCCGGCAGGGGCCTCTCAGCTCTGCACCACCACCTCCTCTCTGATCTGGGGAGGACCAGGCACCTGTCAGTGTTCCAGTTCTGATGGGAGCTCTGTCTCCATCTCTCCAGAGCCTTCCAGGTCAGGCCCTCTTCCCGCCACCGGCCCTCAGCCCCCTCTGCGCACACTCACACTCTCCAATAAGGCCCAGGCCCCAGGTCTGCGTGGCTTACCTTCTTGGGAATGGACTGAAGGTTCTTCCCTGTTGCCATAGACATGATGGAACTGTGGGGGGGCTTCCCCAGCAGAGAGATGCTGCAAAGCAGAGACTGGGTGAAGGGACAGTGGCGACTGGGACCCTCTGCCCCCCAGTGCTCTAGGGGAATCATTTATGGAGTCGGAAGTGAGGTCTAGTCTAGGGGGGAGATGGTGAAAGGAGAAGGGGTGCTTCCTCGGTGCCTCCTGTACAGAGTCGAGCCCGTGCTCCTGGGGATGCTGGGTGACATGCCCTCCCCCGGCCAGGGCGCAAGGGGCTTGGCTGCTCACCTGAGCAGAGGGTAGCAGAAGCATGAGAGCCACAGGATGTCGGTGGTGCTCAGGAGTGGGGGCAGCTGGACCAGGCAAGACAGGAACTGGCCGGGAAGGACCCGAGAGCCACAGTGAGCCTCGGCAGAGACCTGAGAGCCTGCTTTCCCTGCCTGGACCCCCACAGGTGCTGAGGCCCTGGCTGGGAGGAGCTGCCCATGGGGTCATCTCCGAGAGCCTAAGGGTTCTCAGAGCCTGGTGACCCCTCACTGGACTGCTACGACCAGCCTCCCACAGCAGAGCAGAGAGGGCAGCAAGGGGGCAAGTCGTGTGCTAGCCCCACCTCACCTGGATGACCACGAGCGTCAGCTGGCACTGCAGCAGGAAAAGGAAGCACTTCCGGATGCCGTAGGTGGCGTGCCGAGCCTAGAGACAAGAGGACAGTTGGAGGCCCTGACATGCCTCGTCGCTCTCAGGCCCCACAGCTGACGAGCTTCAGCCAAGAGCCGGATGCCCATGCCAGATCCCCCTTGGGGAGGAAGGGGCAGAGCAGCCCAGCTGCCTGGGAGAGTTCTGTCAGGAGGCTGGGGATGAGGCCCAGGGCCCAGGAGGGCCTTGCATTGCCCTTCTGCCCGGGCTCCGCGCCGCCCCACCTGCTCGATGAGCCGGATGATGCTGATGGTCTCCTCCTGGCGGAAGGTCAGCGAGCAGGGCAGGCTGTTGAGCTGCCCCGACAGCTGCAGGGGAGAAAGGCCATCCGAGGCCTGGGCCATGCTGGTGCTGGTGGCGTAGCCAAAGGTCTCCCAGGAGCACCGAGATGGGTACAGGGGATCCAGGGCAATGCTGCTCAGTGCAGGGAAAGGGCCATCAGCTGCACTCCACAGAGACCCATGTCCAGGGCTCGGCACCCAGCCCTCCTCCCACCACGCCCAGGGGCCGTGGTCCCAGCCAGGGCAGGGCCTCGCCCTGACCTGATGTCGCTCTGGAGGAAGAGGCAGCTGTTGCGCAGGTTGGCAGAGCTGCCCAGGCAGCAGGTCACCTCGCCGTACTCCTGCATGATCTTTATCATCTCACACATGGCTAGGGGCAAGGCGGGGGCATGGTGGTCAGGTGGGTGGAGCTCCGTGTGGGCGCAGGGCAGAGATCCAGGGTCGGGCAGGCCGGAGGTGACATGAAATGAGCCCCTCTTGGGAAGAATTCCACCCCAGCACATGATCATACGACCACTGCTGCTTCTGGCTCCCCAGGATGGGCACCCCCACGGCTGGAGGCCACTGGATGGATCCCAGCCCAGGTTCCTCTACTCCCTGCATGGGAAATCTCCATCCCCCCCATATCCCAGGGGGAGCCCAAGCCTCGGCACTCACTCTCAGGGGTACAGTCGGTGAAGAGGGGCACCAGCAAGGGCACGTTGTCGATGTTCTGCAGGTGGGGCCGCACCTGGTGGATGCCCCGGGGCAGCTTGGCCTGGAGAAAGCGGACGCCAATGCCTCGGGATGGGCGCAAATTCCTCCCCACCTGCCTGCCCCCCTCCACCGCACCCTACCACGCCGCCCTCTCTCCCTGGGCCGGCCGAGGGGCCACTTCCGGGAGTGCAGGGACAGATCTGGCCACTGTACCCGGTTGCAGTCCTCCAGGAAGCTGGGGATGTCACTGTCCGTTGGCTGGAAGCTGATGAGGTCTGAGTGACCCTCTTCCTCCATGAGCAGGAGCCCTTCCGCATCATCTCGGGACACTGTGGGTACGAAAGCCTGTCCCTTACCTTGGCGCCAGCCTTCTGGGGGCTTTTCCTCGCCCTGCGGATGGCACAGGACTTCCAGCCTCCAGGTCTCTTCTCCCCTGCCCCTGCTGTTACCCTTACCTTGGGGGACATTGGAACTATCTCCCAGGGGATACGCTGACCAGAAAGGCCCTAAGGAAGGCATGTCTCCCACCCACACCCCAAGCCCCAAGGCAGGCAAGCCTTTGACCTCACCCTGATTCAGGTCATCGTGCAGTGAGCCTGCGTGGCTGGGGCTGGAGGGGGGGATCTCGGAGCCGGGCATGTCGCCATTGGGCGTGAGGGAGATGTGGCAGTTCCAACCCGTCTCCAGGCCCATCTTCTCTGCAAACACCTATGAAGGTAGGTGGCAGTGAAGAGATGGGCCCAGAAGCCCTTGGGAGAAAGGTCGCAGCGGCAGGGTGGCTCTCCCACCTTGCTTTTGAGCTCGTCCTCTAGAGAGAAGTAGACGAAGCGGATGCAGGCGTTGACCAGCCCGTCGATGAGGCGCACGATGTCCAGCCGGGCCTGGTACTGGGAGGACACCACACCCATGAAGATCTGGCCACTCAGGGCCTGCAGGCAGTCTTCCTTCTCCAGCACCTCCCCGATCCCTTCTTCAGGCAGGCACAGGGCACAGAGCCCGGCCGGGACACAGCGGGGACATGGCCCAGTCGGGATGCCCAGGAACCGGCAGATTCCAGGAAGCAGCCCAAATGCCACACCCAAAAGCAGTGAGCACGTGGGCCCCAGGGGACCACACACAGTCACGCACACACAGCCAAGACACACAACAGAGCCAACAGACACGGGAGAGAAGACAATGAAAGGTACTCATCAGTCAGGTGGCCATCTGGGGCCATCAGTCAGCTCCCACCCGCCCCTGCTCTGGGGTTACGGGGCCACCCCCTCAGCGATCGCTTCAGCTCATGGTCTCTTGGGTTCCTAAGTCCCCGTAAGTGTATGTCTGGCTGGGGGGTGGTTTCTTGGTCCCCCTACTCCAGCAGGGTGTGGCCTGGTCTTTCGTCTACTAAGGCTAATGCTCACATGTATGCTGCTTTAGCACCTTCCAAGAAAGCGCTTTGATATACATTTTCCCACTTGACATCCCCACAAACCTGTGAGCAGGGCAGAGTAAGCACCTCTTCGTAGGTGAAAACAAAGGGACCGCTCACGTCACCATACAGTGAGTGCCGCCCTGGCATCCCTGCTGTGCCCACCACACCCTGCACTGCAATGATGCCGCAGCCCTCCCCACGCCTGGGCTCCCAGCTCCAGCCCCGTTGGGCTGGACGGACACACAGGTACCATCAGAGCTCCAGCTGTTGTGCCGGGTGTTCTGCTTGATGGGGACGGTGCTGGGCAGCTCGCAGGTAGTGAAGATGCTGCTCTGACCGGGCACCTGCACCAGCTCGATGCACTTGCCATTGAGCTGAGAGGACAGGGAGCACGTCATGGGCTTGTAGGCAAAGGCGGAGCAGTAACCAGACAGGCAGGCTCGCTGGTAGAAATCCAGCACTTTCTTTCTGCCAGGAAAGTGGGGCGGAAATGAGGTGAGTGGTCCCGGGCTGTCCCGTGCCTGTGAGATGAGCAGGCAGACCCGCAGAGCTGAGTCGACTGCTCTCCCCGAGGGCAGCCCCCCACCCACCGGTCAGAACCGGAAAGAGGGTAGATGTCAGCTCCGTCCCAGAAATCCGTGCAGGCCTCCAAGACCACGTCGGCCGTGCCATGGGACAGCATCTGTTCTGTGCCTGGGTGCAGGGGAGAAAAAGGCCAAACCATGGATGCCCCAAACTAGCCTCTGCCCCTCACCGCGACCCTAACAGGTAGCACTCTCCCATCCTGAGACAGGTGCTAAGAGGAGGGGACGCCCGGCCCTGATGACCTGCAGGCCTCTGGGGAACACCACTGGGCCTGAAATGCAGACCCTGTGCTTCCCATCCTGCAGATGAGCCATCCTCCGCAGCCATCACCATCCCGCACAGGTCTCTAAGCCCAGGCCCAGCCACATTAGTGGGCTTAGGGCACAACCCACTTTCATTGGCCCAGTCATCCCTAGAAAGGCTGGGGCAGGGCAGGGCTCCTTGTTCAACTCTGGAAGGCCTGGCCTAGTGCTGGCCAAGACGGACAGGAGGCTCACTGGTGGTGGTGTCCTTGGTGAAGAGGCTGATCATATGGCTGAGGGGAGGGCGCCGCTTGGTGACACAGGACAGCCGCCCCAGCGAGGTCTCCTTCATCGTCTCTGCACTGGGGAGGCGGTACAGAGCAAGGTGGTTCTGCTGCTTGAAGAGCTCCTTGGCCCCAGGAGTGAAGCCTGCAGGATGAGGGGAGGGAACTTAGGGCCTCTGCATGCGAGCGCTACCTCGAGTCCCCTTGCTGGACAGACAGCACCAGTCAGCCCGGCTGCTTCCCTCTATCTTCCTACCCCAACAATCAGCTATCTTTCCAGACTGGGAGACTGTCCACATGGCAGTGTCTGGCCAAAGGGGGACAACCAGCAGCTCAGAGAGTGGACTAGACGGTGCTCATGACAATCAAAAGCCGAGTGAGGGCCCGGGCCATAGGAGTTGGCACCGGGCCCCTACTGCAGGTGGCTCGTACCGATGAGACGGGCGAGCTCGCAGAGCCCCCAGGGCACGTGCACGGGCAGTACGGCGCTGTGGCTCTCCTGCAGGGCGATGTTGCGCAGGTGGTCTGAGAACCGGCACAGGCGCTCCGTGACGCTGGCGCTGCACAGGTTCAACAGCACGTTGAGGCCCAGGGGCTTGAGCGAGGTGAGGTGGAGCTGCCAGTTGGAGTCGTCGAACTGGATGCAGGAGGGGTTCTGCTGGTCCTGGGACAGGCTCAGCATCTCCAGGTGGTAGTCGCACACAAAGTCCTCCGCCTCGTAGGGCTCACCCTCCGTCCCAGGCTGGGGCTGGAGGAGGTGAAAGGGACGGGGACTCAGACCAACCAGGAGGCATGCAGGCAGAAGATACGCCCTTGGGAAGAGGCACCCTTCCCTTGCACTCGCCATCTCCCCACCTTCCTGCAATCCACTTCCTGACCCCCTTGGGCTCCTGTCTGCATCTACTATCTACACCTGATGACACGGGCAGTTCCAAAGAAGAAATGACAGGGGGCCTTTGCCAGCCACAGGGAAATGTCTGGAAAGGGGCTCCGTCCCAGAAATCCGTGCAGGCCTCCAAGACCACGTCGGCCGTGCCATGGGACAGCATCTGTTCTGTGCCTGGGTGCAGGGGAGAAAAAGGCCAAACCATGGATGCCCCAAACTAGCCTCTGCCCCTCACCGCGACCCTAACAGGTAGCACTCTCCCATCCTGAGACAGGTGCTAAGAGGAGGGGACGCCCGGCCCTGATGACCTGCAGGCCTCTGGGGAACACCACTGGGCCTGAAATGCAGACCCTGTGCTTCCCATCCTGCAGATGAGCCATCCTCCGCAGCCATCACCATCCCGCACAGGTCTCTAAGCCCAGGCCCAGCCACATTAGTGGGCTTAGGGCACAACCCACTTTCATTGGCCCAGTCATCCCTAGAAAGGCTGGGGCAGGGCAGGGCTCCTTGTTCAACTCTGGAAGGCCTGGCCTAGTGCTGGCCAAGACGGACAGGAGGCTCACTGGTGGTGGTGTCCTTGGTGAAGAGGCTGATCATATGGCTGAGGGGAGGGCGCCGCTTGGTGACACAGGACAGCCGCCCCAGCGAGGTCTCCTTCATCGTCTCTGCACTGGGGAGGCGGTACAGAGCAAGGTGGTTCTGCTGCTTGAAGAGCTCCTTGGCCCCAGGAGTGAAGCCTGCAGGATGAGGGGAGGGAACTTAGGGCCTCTGCATGCGAGCGCTACCTCGAGTCCCCTTGCTGGACAGACAGCACCAGTCAGCCCGGCTGCTTCCCTCTATCTTCCTACCCCAACAATCAGCTATCTTTCCAGACTGGGAGACTGTCCACATGGCAGTGTCTGGCCAAAGGGGGACAACCAGCAGCTCAGAGAGTGGACTAGACGGTGCTCATGACAATCAAAAGCCGAGTGAGGGCCCGGGCCATAGGAGTTGGCACCGGGCCCCTACTGCAGGTGGCTCGTACCGATGAGACGGGCGAGCTCGCAGAGCCCCCAGGGCACGTGCACGGGCAGTACGGCGCTGTGGCTCTCCTGCAGGGCGATGTTGCGCAGGTGGTCTGAGAACCGGCACAGGCGCTCCGTGACGCTGGCGCTGCACAGGTTCAACAGCACGTTGAGGCCCAGGGGCTTGAGCGAGGTGAGGTGGAGCTGCCAGTTGGAGTCGTCGAACTGGATGCAGGAGGGGTTCTGCTGGTCCTGGGACAGGCTCAGCATCTCCAGGTGGTAGTCGCACACAAAGTCCTCCGCCTCGTAGGGCTCACCCTCCGTCCCAGGCTGGGGCTGGAGGAGGTGAAAGGGACGGGGACTCAGACCAACCAGGAGGCATGCAGGCAGAAGATACGCCCTTGGGAAGAGGCACCCTTCCCTTGCACTCGCCATCTCCCCACCTTCCTGCAATCCACTTCCTGACCCCCTTGGGCTCCTGTCTGCATCTACTATCTACACCTGATGACACGGGCAGTTCCAAAGAAGAAATGACAGGGGGCCTTTGCCAGCCACAGGGAAATGTCTGCAAAGGAGCCACCAGCCCTATGTGCTTAGAAGGTTCTCATTAGACCAGTGACCATGGCGGGAACTGGAAGTGGGGATGGGCCCTCTTCATGGAAGTGACCTGGGCAAGGCCTCAGGAGGTTAGCCTGCCAGCCAGACTTGGAGGTGGATGGCTGTGACTCCCGTGTTCTTCCAGACCCAGTCAGTCAGTCCAGGTGCCAGTGGAGGTGCCTGGCAGGGGAGGCCGGGATGGCCTACAGTAGGTGATGTGGCTCTGCCCGCCCCTCTCACCTTGCCTGGCTCTTCACCGCCTTCAGTGTCCCTGCTAAAGCTCACGCTGGAGCCGGACGGGTGTTTGCTGCGGCCGTGTGCTTTGTGGTGAGAGTAGGGCTCGGGGTGCTTGGAGCTGTCACCAGGCCAGTCACCACACTCCTGCTCATTCAAAGGGTGCAGGGTATTGTTCAGGGGGCCGGCTAGGAGGGCATCTCGTTCGTGGGGCTGAGGAGGACAAGGAGCACAGGCCTCGGACCAGGTCCCGGCGGCTCCCACGGGCTAGGGAGGCGGGCGGCTCTAATTCCCTCGCTGCCTTGGCCTGTAGCTTCACCCGAACTGCTCTGAAGCAGACGCCGGTGCTGCTTGGAACCCTCTTTCTCCCTCCTAAACCTCCCTCCCTGAGGCCGCTGGCCAGGCTCCAAGGCTAAACAGCCTGGCCCAGAGTCGGGCCCATGGAGCTGGCCGTACCTCCTCCTCTACCTCGGGGTGGCAGAAGGAGCGGGTGGACAGGTCATCCGTCAGATCCTCGTGGCTGCTGTGGGGGGGCTCCACCTTCCCACTGAAGAACAGCACGGTCTCTGGGCTGGGGTTTGGCCAAGACAGGATCCCCTGTTTGTCTACACAGCACAGGACCTGCAGGGAGAGAGGTGGGCATTGGCCAATGGCCACTCAAGGGGCAGAGGGGCTACCCACACTCAGCCGGGCAGCAGGCCTGGCGCGAGGAGCCTCCTCCCGGGGCCACCCTCACCGTGACGGAGCCCAGGCTGTGCAGCAGGCTGGAGCTGTGGCTAAGCGTCGGTGAGGTCCCTTGGATCACCCTCAGGAAGTGGCCCCAGATGCAGCGCAGCATTTCCTGGTGGGAGAGCAAGGCTGCCTGGGGTCAGGCTTACTTCCCTGGAGATGACTCTGGGGCCAACAGCGGGAAAAGACCAGGGGGGCACTGAGAAGTGGGGGCAGAGGGGCCTCTGTCTACGACAGGGCACTACGTGCTATGGACACAGGCCAGGGTATCTCCCCATGCAACAGTGGAGGGTGGGGGGCTCCTAGAGCCTGGTGGGAGGCTCAAGGCCATAAATAGAGAATCCCAGGGCCCCGGGAAGGGGTGGGGGCAAAGCCCTCCCTGGGTCATGTACCTGAGAGGAGACGGCCTCTGTGTAGCTGCTAAGAGTGTCCTCCGAGAACTTGGCCAACTGCACAGGGAAAGGGTGTGGGACTCAAGGAGGGAAAAGCTACTCTCACACAGGTGACAAGCTGGTGGGGAAGGGGCCTGCCCCTCCACAGGTGGGAGCCAGATGGTCGCTCACCCACATTGGGAGCCTGACCGGGAGAATCTTCTAGAAGGGACAGGGCTGGTGACCTCAGGGAACTGCCCAGGCCAGCCAACACACTGAGCCCATGGTGGGGTTGGACTACCCCCTGTTCTCCGGGTATTGCCCATTCCCTCTTGTTACTGCCTCTGTCCACTCCCCACCCCAGATGTCTCAGAACCTACCAGAGAGCTGGGCGAGGCCTTGCTCATCTGGGCCAGGACACGGGCTTCTCCGCAGGCGGTTGCCAGAACCCAGAGGACTGGAAAGAGCAGGGGGAGGATGGGCAGGACGCCGTTCACCTGGGGAAGAGCGAGCCGTGTGGAGGCTCCCTGAGAGCCACGGCCCAGGGAGGGGAGGGGAGGGCCCGTGGCCATTCATCCCCAGGTTGGAAGGGACGGCTGGCAGGGAGAGGAAGGGAACGGGAGAAGGAAGGAGATATTTTAAGTTGATGCCTGAGCAACCTCTGGGTTGCACAGAGGGACAGCAGGGCATGGTGAGGGGACCAGCCGTGCGGGGCTGGGAAGAGCATGGGGAGGGGAAGGGCAGCACTTGCCTGCAGCTGGAGCAGGGTGTACTGCCAGGAGGTGACCCCGGGGGCACTGAACATGAAGCGCAAGGCGTTGGTGATGAGAAAGCCAGCCTGTTGGGGAGGCGACAGGCACAGCCTTAACCCCTCCCCTGCAGAGGGACCAGGCCTCACGGCTGCCCTTCCTCTGCCACTCACTCTGGGACCTTCTGCCTTCTCGCACTCACCCCTACCCAGCCCTCCCTGGTACCCTGTGGCCCCCACGCACCAGGACCACGGGCACAGCGTAGTGCAGCATCACAGACTGCACCGTGAACCTCTCGTTGTCCAGCGCAGTGACCGGGCGGGCCAGGGCCATGTCCAGGCACCACCTGCAGAAGAGGCGACCCTTAGCCCTGCTCTGGGGAGAAGCCAGAGACCACACCTCAGAAGGACTCTGGTCCTCTCAGCTGGACATTGCTGCCATCTGGGCCTAGCTGAGGAACACCTGTGGCCTGTGGTCACCCCCAGTCCAGACCAGGAGGAGGGCACCCCAGTCTGAGAATTGTCACAGAGGCTAAGGAGAGGGGCCGGGAGATGCTGCCCTCATGAGAGAGGGACCAGGCTCCTTCCCTGTCAGCTCCTCCTACCTGATGTTGTCAATCACAGGGGTCTCGAGGACACGGAAGAGCCGGTGCTGCTGGGGGTTCTGTGGGCCTTTCTTCACTTCTCCCCGCGGCGAGGGGGGTGGAGAGAAAGGGGGGAACAGGTCTCCCGGCTCCAAGACAATATGCTCATCATCCTGCCAGCAGTGAGGGAGGTGAGCGCATAGACTGTTCCATCAGGGGCCCCCCTCCTGGCCAATCCCAGCTAAGCGAGACCTCCCCCAGCTGCAGGATGGTCATTTAGCAGGGGTGTGTGGGCCTGGATTCCTGGTGCTAGAGGCCCAGGAGAAGAAGGAACAGCACGGGGCAGGGAGATAGTCTTGCCCTGCCCAGGGGCCCTGGCCAAGCAGCTGTGAGCTGCCAGGAGACGTCGGGATTGCACCTAGGACTCCCACCCACCGTCGCCTGTGGGTGCTGCCACGGCATCTCCAGGGAAGGAAAAAAGCCTCGTGCTACCTTGATTCCCCTCAGAGAAGCGAAAGATTCCTGGCCAGGCCTCAGAGCAATGATGTCTCCTTCCACCAACAGGCTAACGGGCAGGTTGACCAGGTGTCCATCTCTGTAGGCCCAGTGCAGGGACCAGGATGGTGCGAAGGGCATGTGGAGGTCTGGGTACATGGCGTCTGGCCACCTGACCTCCTTGCCCTCCCTGAGGGCATCTGATGGGAATGGAAGGAAGGAAACCCCCTTCTCACCCACGGCTCTGCATGGTAGGCAGACCCACATACGCCCAGGGAGTGGTGCCCACACCCCTTCCTTCCTCTTCCCGGAGGGTCGCTGCCTGGGTGCTCACAGCTGTCTCAACAGGGCGGGGCAACTTTCTCACTGTCCTGTAGTCAAGGCCCCCACAATGCTGACTACCAGTGGCCCCTCTGTACTGGGCTCCTGGCTGGGGGCTCTGACCCATCACGGGGGATCGTTTCCCACAGATGCGCCCAGCCCAGGCCTCACCTTGGATCTGGTCGATGATCCCTCGGAGCCTCCGTTCCACCTCCCGCCGCTTCAGCCGGTCCTGCCGCCCGATGAGGACGAGGTTGAGCAGCAGCAGCAGGAACAAGGCCAAGGCATTCACCAGCTCCACCCCGTGGCTGGTTGAGAAGGCAGAGGCTGTCCTGACGGGGGGAAGGGCCCTCCCGGCCAGCCAGCCCCCGGGGCCAGAGACTCTCCCCATCCACCCCATTCCCTTCTGGTTCCCTGATGCCGGCTAGGCCAGTGGCCCCAGGCAAGGGTCTCGGAGAGCCTTATACAACCTGGAGGAGCCCACAGAGGGAGCAAGGTGAGGACAGCGGCCCCTCCATGTCCTGGGCAGGGCCCGGGAGCACCGGCAGGGAGCACGTACCTCCCGGCAGGCTGGCCCCCCTAGCCCCCCCGCCGGCGCAGCCACGG